TGTTTCATTTAAAAATAATGAACAATACACTCAAGCACTGGCAAGTAACAAAAAGATACTTCCTGACATAGCACAACATGGTGCATTCCATCCTTTTTCTGTGCTAATGAGCGAACGTAGACCAAATTGCTCTCCAGTGTACTCATGTATAGTTTAGTATCATATAACAGGATTTGTTAGTATCACAGGCAGAATTTTTTCCCAATTATTTGATTTAATCTTTTTTTTCTTCTAGCTTGATTTCAGCATTTCATAGTGTTCTTAAAAGAAAGCTGTCTGTTTGACTCAGACCAGGTTTCAGTCATCTGTGATGCTGTGAGTGCTGAATTTAATGAAAAATGGTCCCGGTGAGGGGGAGGAAAACAGTACTTAAAAAGCAGTTTAAATCTCACATCTACATTACTTGATGTGTCATGCATGGTCTCTGGGCCATAGCAGAGATGGTAAAATTAATAGTTAGTGTACAGTTAATATATCTTATGTTTTATAGGATATCAGAAGAATATTGAAAGCATGGTGACTGACAGTCACTTAGGCTTAAATGAGCATTCTCACTGGGGATCCCAGTGAAGGTGTTGACTCAGAGGAGCCCTTACAGAGGGGAAAGGTTTTTCCTTGTTGTGTTTGCACTGCTTCATAGCATTAACAAGATCAGCTCAACCAGAAGAGCAAGAGGGAAGAGGAAGAACCATTTTTAGCAGATGTTCACCAACCACATAGCCAAATTTCTTGTTCAGATTCATTTCATATCATATCATATCAGAACTGAGTTGTAGAAACTGTTATCTCATTCGGCACATTGTCGATGTTACCATTCTCTGTGTCTCTCTATGAGCTCCCCATACTCCATCGTGTCAAGATGGTGACTTTTATTCCATTTCAGGTCCTCTTGCATTCTTACCTGACTGACTATCTCACATGTTTTATCTGTTTCTGCTTCTGCTCAACAAAATCCAACAAAGTAACTTGCCCAGCTTGCATCAATATGATTGAAGACTTAGTACATGTTCATAACTATTTCCCAAACACTGTAAATATGTCTATACAGCAGTTGATGGGTCAGCATGAAGTTTAGGAGCACAGGATGCTCCTAAACCTGTCCACCTTCTGTCTACGTGCTGAGGTGCAGACAGCCTATGCACTGGGAGAGCTGTGTATGGGAGTAGAGAGCTAGACAAGTTATTGAAATGAACTGTTAAAGACAGTTTCTTCAGGATAGGATTGTGGTGCGTTGACAGGTTGGTTGCAAGGAAACATATGTTAAGTGTTACAGTTCTGTTCTGTGGTTAGTGTGGTCGTCATCTACTTAGATGTTATCTTCACTTTTCTGAGATGTCAATAAGCAATAATAGCTAACCCCTTTGCTGTCACTGAATTCACACCCACACCAACTCCACTGCCACACTAAACCATCATATTCTCAATTAAAATCTATTTCTGTAAGAGCTCAGTCATTTAAAAAAAAAAAAAAAGTATTTTCCCTAAATATGTGAGATCATAATTAATTCCTACCATTAATAGGTGAAATTTTCAGTTTGATTGGTGCATCAGCACAAGAAGAAAGCAAAATTCAGGTTCAATCCTGAAAATTTCATTATTCAAACCTGTTATTGTCTGGAGAGATGAGAACAGAAAGTGTGGGTAATGAAAACAAATTTTATAAATATCATTGCAAATGTAGCTACACTGAAACATGCTGTCATCACAAACTCCTCTGTTCAGTATGTGTTTAAACTGGGGCAAATTCCTTGCTCACTTACACTTGGAGCTATGAGATTTGCAGATGGTGTGAATAACCAGAGAATGCAACCAGTATTTTTATAAACCTTTGGTTTTATTAGGTGGATAACGCTCACAAGTACACTTCTATTAACAGAAAAAAGCATGGCTAGGGCAGTGACAGAACAAAACAAACTTCCTGGAATTTTCTGCAATATGAAATCACAGGGAAAGCTTCCCTAAGTCAGAAGACAGTTCAATATGATGCTTTTTATTTTTCTTCTGATATAGCTTTACAAATAAACTGATAACTTTTTTTTTTTCCTTGGAGTTCCTAAGTAAATATGAAATTATCCTTATTATCTTTTTATGAAGCTATGTGCAACGTTAGTATTTACTAATAGAAATACATTTCTCATCTGTGTAAGATCAGCACATGTTTTGAAAATGCTATTCATTTAGCTTTGTGACTAGAGGCTCATCATTCTTTGGTATGGGCTGTTTATTGTGTGACCTTTGGAGAGATGGGGTCGCTGATGTTCACATGTATACATGCTTTGTAGTCTTAATTGCCAGCCTGGAACAAATTAGATTGGATAACTGAAAGATACTGAGCGGTTTATAAAATACACCCATTTACAAAGGTGAAATGACGGCAATTTATGTGGCAAAGTGACTTGACTGCTCTCTATAACATTGTTTTACTCCAAATGCCCTACCCTGTCAATCTGCTGATAAGTGTGGCTATTTCAGAGGTGAAACAGACCTTGAGCATACCCAGATGCTGTTCCAAAGCATCCTGCAGCTCCAGTCAGCTGATATACAGGAAGCAAGTAGCTGTACAGCATCCAGCTGAAAAGTAAATGAGTAGAAGATTGTTTTTCTAGAGCATGGCCAGAGCACTGCTTCTCATGTGAAAGCACTGTGAAACACTTCGTGGAGGCAAGCAGTTATTTATTTGGGTTTTGTAGAGAAAAATGGCAACTCCAGCTACATGTATTAGGGTATTAAACAGGTACACAATTGAAAGAGGAAAATGTTTCCTAATGAATTATGTAAACCATGGTGCAGCAAAACCCCGCCTTACTTTCAGTAATACAGTATACCTCATTGCAGTTACATAGTGTGCTGTGAGCAACTGCCAATCTTAAGAAGCTAATGCTTTGTGTCCATTGTTTCTCATTTGCAGCTTTAGAATTAGGACACACAGAATTGTGAGATGAAAAAAACAAAACAAACAAACAAAAAAAAACCCCAACCACAAAAACCTATACTCTCAAAAATCTTTGGGTGTTTCTTTATATTCCTTCTAACTGTGAGCCTGCCTAAGGTTATGCTTTTGAGCTTTTCACTGTGTTTGAGAAATAAGAATGTGCTTTTTTCATAACTTAAAATAGATATCTTCATGTCATCACCTCATTTCTATTTGTGGATTTAACCAAATATAAACTATTATGAAACTTTTATAAAATAAAATAAAATGTTAAGAATTGAGAAGGATTTATTTTTGTCAGCCTCCTTCCAGAGAGACACCGAAGCTTTTACTGAAGAACCTTTCCTCCAATTCTGTGTGCTTGATACCAGACCTCAGTCTGTTTCTTGAAGGTGTAGCAAGGATGTATTTTAACATTGTCATAACTTGTAGGCATCCCAAGTCTGTGAGATTATTGTATTACAGCTACTGGTTCTAGGAAAACAATGTACTTAATAATGTCAGATTTGTTTCAGTGTGCTTAGATATAAAGCAAGCATAACAGAAAATAAATTATGTGCCAGCATATAACCTCTGTGTTCAGTGAATCTTTAGAGGCTTTCATGGACTTCTGAAAGGGGTCCATCTTATGATTTCAGTAATCAGGTACCTCGAGTTGTAGTCTCAGACATGTTTCCTGACAGCATGAGCTGGATATTGTACTGGCTGTCATGTCATTATTATCTCAAGCTCCTGCTTCCTGTTACTACCAAAACGAAGAGCATAAAACATCGACCTCCCACCCCGAAATTTGAATGCATCCCTACATTTACAACAGAAAAAAATCTGCTACCATTGTTCATGATTAAAAACATTTGTCACTCACAGCGTGTAACAGTTTTCTGTGATAAAGCATCATCTGTAGGTACCAGTGCAGTGAGACAAAGGGGGATGCACATGATCCCCAGGTAGATCAGTGGCACTGCTGTGAACAGAGGCAGCTCACTTACCTGTTACAGGGCCCTCCTTCCTCCTTTCTGTCAATGCTGTCAGTGCTGATGCTGATACCCAAAAAACAAATATAAGGGCATACAATTGACTTGCGTGGTGGTGAACAGTTGGCCCAGCTTGAGAATATGAAGACCTGATCAAGAAGTATTAAATATAGAGGTGTTGTAAGCCTTATTCTTCACAATTGTACTGCAATCTTCTCAGTTTCTGCTGTTTGCTGTTTTATCTTAATCATCAGTTGCAGATCTAATTCCTAGCTTAAAAGATACTACATCCATGGGGAGAAATGCTTCACTTCTAATAATGTTTTGTAGTTCCCTTTGTGGTTTGTTCTGGCACTTTGGTTTTTCATAGTTGAATAAATTGAGTTCTGTAGAGTTCTCTTGTAAAATGTCACACTGTTGATTTTAAATGAGCTTCAGTGTGATGACTGCAGCATTAGAGTGGGATGTGGAGTAATGCTTAGGCTTGTGGATTGTAGCTCTACATTTTATTCTTGAGCCAATTGCCAGATTATTATATGAATCATGGATAGGTAATTTTCAGGATACCTGCTCCTGCATTCCATATCTGTAAAATTAATATGTTTTACCTATACAGCAAGTCGGTTTTGTCACCCAGGCAGTTATTTGTTTAACAGCTAAGCCAACTGCCCAACTGCTACCTTGTACTTCCATAATCTTTTTATTGAGAACAAATATTTTAATGAGTTGTATGTAAATTGTCTAAGGAGAAATAATTGCTTTTAACATGTATATATGTAGTCCCTGTCATAGTGAGCTTTCATTCTTTGGATGAAGCAAAAAAAATATTACTAGAAGATAATAATGAAGTTAAGAATGTGCTTTGAGATCTTTGAATTAAATATGCTGAGGGTTATTAAAGCTGTTTTCTTTCCCAGAAAACATTATCAAACATTATTATTTTTATGGGCACTTTTCTCTGCTGAACTTTAAAAGCAGACAGTAATTACCAGTGCATCTGAATCCATCAGTTAATGGATGAAGTGAAAGGACATGAACAAAAGGCTTGTCTTCATTAATGGAGGTCTGATGTAAAGGTTCTAAAACATTCAGAAATGGCATATTTTGATGGTTAGTTTACCTGTGAGCAGTTTGCTTGATAATGAGTAGTGGCTTAATAATAATTAAGCTGATACTAATTCAGAATTAATATCTGAAGTAGGTTTTAACAACTAATAAAAAGAGGCTGTTGCATATGTGTTAAACCTGGAATAGTGTATCAGATGCATTTCTTGTGTTTTAGGCAGCTAATGACTTTTTCTGTCAAATCTGCAGATGCATTTGTTTGTGAATTTTTTTTGTCATTTGGAAGTGTGAGAAAAATTGTATCTGATACAAGGGGAGAAGTTTGGAGAAGTTTCAACAATGCTGAAAAAGTTATACATACAATTTTACAGAATAACAGATTAATGAGTTATAGGTATCAGATGTAGAAGTATCAAATGTTTTGTTTTAAACTCATTAGTTCTTAAAGGAGTGTATTAGGGAAGCTAGCTTCCCGTATTTCCTCTGGAAAGGGGTGAAGGAAGACAATGTATCTCCCTAGTCCCTAAAGAAAAATTAAGCATTTGAATTAACATTCATTATCATATTTGAAAAAATTGTTTTTCAGATAATCGCCTTTGATGAACTTCGGACAGACTTCAAAAGCCCAATAGATCAGTGCAACCCAGTCCATGCTGTGAGTACAACCAGGAGCTTGCTAAGCAACAGCCACTAAAGAATGGGAGATGCACTAACATGTCAGAGAAAGTATGGGTAGAAATTAATGTAGCGTCTGTTGTGAAGTCAGCTGTAATTTGGAAAATTGATTTATTGGGCCAGTCTTAGGAGACCAGAGAGTGATTCTTCAGACTAGTAGATTTCCTTTTTCCTGAAGGAAGCAGGAAAAGAATTTGGAATTTCAAAAACTGCAAGATATATAAAGTGATGCTAATGCTTTCTCTTCATCTTTTTATTCTGTTGCTCAAGTTTTCCTTTTTGAAATAATTTGCTTTCTCTGCCTTCAGCATGGGATGACCACCTTCACCCATACTGCCATACTCATCCAAGAGTCAAAAGCTTGAAAGGATTTGATGTGCATTCCTAGACCTCTCTGTCCCATGGCAGTGCCCTAAATTCTCCTGTGCTTTAAGAGTAAATAACACATTCTGCTGCATCTGCTATGGAAAAGGTTAAATATAACCCTGGGACCATAAACTCAGTTTTGCTTAATGAACAAAATGCAACCCAGATTTAAGCATGTGGAAATTCCTCTGTTCATTAAAACTGTAATCTGGGGTGTTTTAGCTGACTACAGTTAAAAATGTATCCGATTTTTACCACCAGAACTGAGAGCAGAACTTGGCTCCCTGCTTTCTCACTGGGAATTAAAATCATTATGACAGGTGCTGAATTTTATCTCTACAGAGTATCAAGTTACTGAATTGCCTACAAATGATAAGCAGATTCAGTAGCTAGTACCTTGGCATTTGTCATAGTTGGACTCAGGATTGACAATTAAACCAGCAACAACAATGCCATCAATCCCCTCCGCCTCCCACCCAGGTAGGGAAGGAGAGAATGAAGGAGAGAGACTCTCTGGATTGAAAACTAAACTAGACACATTTTATTAAATACTAATGACAAGAGAAAAAATATGTACAAATGTGTTCAGGAATATGCAAAACCCTATTGACTCTCCCCACCCCCAGCAACTCCCATGGTACCTCCTGAGCTGTGAGCAGTTCTGAAATGGCCCAGAGCTGCTGGAGAGAGCAGCAGAGCAGACAGGAGCTGAGGGGAGAGTTGTGAGGGTCAGGAATGCACAGGCCTGGGGATCAACAGTGATGGAGAGATGGAGTCTTCCCTGGATTCCAGTCATAGATGGAAGAGAAGAGAAGAGAAGAGAAGAGAAGAGAAGAGAAGAGAAGAGAAGAGAAGAGAAGAGAAGAGAAGAGAAGAGAAGAGAAGAGAAGAGAAGAGAAGAGAAGAGAAGAGAAGAGAAGAGAAGAGAAGAGAAGAGAAGAGAAGAGAAGAGAAGAGAAGAGAAGAGAAGAGAAGAGAAGAGAAGAGAAGAGAAGAGAAGAGAAGAGAAGAGAAGAGAAGAGAAGAGAAGAGAAGAGAAGAGAAGAGAAGAGCAATGCCATCAATCCCCTCCGCCTCCCACCCAGGTAGGGAAGGAGAGAATGAAGGAGAGAGACTCTCTGGATTGAAAACTAAACTAGACACATTTTATTAAATACTAATGACAAGAGAAAAAATATGTACAAATGTGTTCAGGAATATGCAAAACCCTATTGACTCTCCCCACCCCCAGCAACTCCCATGGTACCTCCTGAGCTGTGAGCAGTTCTGAAATGGCCCAGAGCTGCTGGAGAGAGCAGCAGAGCAGACAGGAGCTGAGGGGAGAGTTGTGAGGGTCAGGAATGCACAGGCCTGGGGATCAACAGTGATGGAGAGATGGAGTCTTCCCTGGATTCCAGTCATAGATGGAAGAGAAGAGAAGAGAAGAGAAGAGAAGAGAAGAGAAGAGAAGAGAAGAGAAGAGAAGAGAAGAGAAGAGAAGAGAAGAGAAGAGAAGAGAAGAGAAGAGAAGAGAAGAGAAGAGAAGAGAAGAGAAGAGAAGAGAAGAGAAGAGAAGAGAAGGAGAAGAAGGAGGAAGGGGCTTGACTCCCTTGATCCCTGACTTTATACTGAGAGCAATGTAGATATTATGGGATGGATTACTCTTTGACCAGGTTTGCCCACTGCCTAGTCAGCTCCTCTCTAAGGGATGGTTGCAGATATCACTCTCCTGGTCCTGTAGTATCCAAAGCAGAGCAAACTGTCCTTGGTGTCTTGACAGTAACATAAACATTCCAGCGTCATCAATCCACTAGCTGAAAAACTTGTGTGCTTAAAAGAGTTCACTAAAGGAAAAAAAAAATCAGTAAAAAGAAAATTGCCTTCATTCTGGCTCCAACCAGGACAGCATTTAACTGTGTTTCATAACTCAGCAGATGATTTGCAGTATTGCTTAGACCACTGATGATTTAAAGCATAATCTTTACACAAACCTTTTAATAAGACTTGTTTACTGTTCACTAACACAAAAGCAAAGAATGAGAATGAAGAAATCCTATAGAGAACTTAAATTAAAATAATCTGATTTCAAATTTACTGAAAGTAATCTGATTTTTAATTCGCTTTACCTGGTTTTAATTCCCATCTTGAGAACTTCACACAAGAAGCATATTTATATGTACCTACTTCCAGTAATTTGTTCCCTTTGTAAAATTTGTAAGATGCTCCATGGACACAATTCCCTTTCATTTTAAAATGGTAATGGGATTGGTTTCCAGGATAAAAAAAGTTATTAAGTCCCTGTTCCAGCCATATTAAGTGTTGTAATAAAAAAATTAATCATAGAGTTTTCAGTAAAACACAGCAAAGTAGTCTGTGGTGAGTTGAAATATTTGATTCTTCTATGAAATCTTCTGTCATAACTCAAGCAATAATCTCAGATTACTTTCTTCGGCACAGTGTACATATTGATGCCTTTTATAGTGACATAAAAGAGGGTTTTAGATGGTATTTCTGGTTTCTTCTCTCTTAGGTCATATGTATTTTAGTTTTTTTTCCTCTTCATAGTAGTTGGTGTCAATATTTGATTTATTTGGTGGGGTAGTTTTCTTTATTGCATTATAAGAGTGTCTGATGTTTACTCATGTATCTTCCACAATGTTTTCAAGGCAGAGAGTAGAGTCTTTTTTGACAAGAGAAGGCTGAATTAGGGAGAAATCTGAGGCAAAAAAAAAATGGCAGTAGTGAAAATTTAATTCAAATTTCCTGATACACTCTATTGCCTACAATTCAAAGATGGACTTCTGCCTTCTTCAAGGCAACCTGCAGTTAGGCATGTGTCTTCTAAAGGGAATTATGAGAATTATCTTGCCCTCCCCACTTACCTCCTACGAAAGACAAAATAAACTTTCTGCAGCTTCACAGACACATCCACATATGTCCATTGTCATGTTTACAGTTATGCATCTGAAATTTTCCAGATCTCTTTTAGATTATAAACAACAGAGAGACTCACCATATTTATCTGGTACCTGTCAAGCTTCCACTATCTTAATGTCTCTCCAGAATTATCCTTTTTTAAAACATGGCTTAAACTTGGGGACAAGAAAGGAAGACAGACACTTCTTTGGAGAATACAAATAAAACTCAAACTTGGAGAAAACAGAAAACATTTAAAAACGAAAAAGCTTAGGGAGAATTGGCTTTCGTATTGGTATATTATGCTACCTATTTAAAAAAGGTCATTGATCAGAATATTTTTTTTCTCATGTCTAAATGAAAGTGTTACCAGTTAGTCTCCTATGGAAACACAGCCACTTTGCCTTCTGCAGTGTAACCTACAGTAGAATCTTTCACAGTAACTCCAGTGATGGATGTATGCAGAGTGAAATCTGATTTTACCTAGTGCATTTCTCATTATGAGCCATTTAAAAGGAGACCTGTCTTTGACGTGTCTTCTTTCTGTGAATCAAGCTTAAAGCATCTTTTGAGTCACAGTGCTTAACTATAGTGGCTTCCAGTATTTATGAATGCACCTGTTGTTTAAAGTGGCATTTCTAGGATATTACAGATATTATTCACAAATGGGTTTATTTCTAAAATGTTGCTCAGGCACCCTCTTAATGATAGAGGAAGGGCTGCGATATCAACTCTGCAGTTATTTTTCCCATTAAGAATTATCTTGAAGCCAGAGGATGGGTCCCAGGTTGGAACCTGGTCTTTTCTAACCTTAACCATTCTACGATTCTACCTGAAAATGCAAGACCAAGTCTCAGTGGTATAGATTTGCAACACTGGATGGAGCCCTGTATGCTGACTTAAAGGAAGTTGCTGTTTCTCTCTGAAGGACAACACAGACTTGAATCCCCAGTTTATATTGTTACACCCAGTAATAGATGAAAAAATAACTTATTGGGACTTTGAAATGTGTAAATCGTATGGCTCCCAAGCAGTAGGTAAGAAGTGAACACTATTGTTTCAGATTCATAATGTTCCCTGCAGCCATTAGTTATAACCTTGACCCATTGAAATTGTAATATAGTGTCTTTAATTCATAAAGAATTAATAAATTAACCAGTTAATCTCCTACCTTTTCCCCACTTTTTCTTGACAGAGAGAGCGACTGAGAAATATTGAGCGTATTTGCTTTCTCCTGCGAAAGGTGAGCATAAATTAGCCTAGAATTTGCGACGTTTGGGAGAATTAAAGCCATTAAGTAATGATGTGCATTAATTTGCTCTTTGAATGATCCCCACACTCCATCGATGAAAGGCTGAATTTTACTGCAGAAGTGGAAGTCAGGATGACCTTGTAATGACAGATTAAGACCAATTATAAGATGACATAATAGAGGATTTATGGATAAGAAGTAAACTTCAGAATAGATCGTTCACTTTGGAACATGCTTTTCAAAGGTGGTGAATAATTTTGCAGTTGCAGCTTGAGGTGCTTTTATAGCCCTATCAACTGATGATATTCTTGTACTACAGGCTTTAGACATACCTTTTTTGTTTCTGAACAGCAGCTTACTGTTTGATAAACTAAGCATTTTATTAGCTACATATTTAATGTTTACATTTTTTAGTTGTCTGAGTGGAAAAGCTGATACATAATAGTTAAAAGAGCTCACAGAAGGAAAAGAAAAAATCAGTAAAAGGAAAATTGGCTTCATCCTGGCTCAAAGCAGGACAGAGGTTTTGGTAAAGTCATTGGTAAAACTGTTGGTTTGAGGTGATCCAAAGGCATAACTGTGACTTCATGACAAATCTAAAGTGTCATTCATTCTCTGATCAGTCCAAACCTGAGCCATATGGGTTTGGCACCATTATGACTGTGACTGTCAGGAATCACATTCAACTATTTATTTAGCCTGTTTATGACACTAGGGGTATGAAAAGAAAAGGAAAAAAAAAAGTATCACCAATAGCTTTCCATTTTATCAGATAGAGAGCCAGCCAATTTCAAGCTGTGGCCCAGTTCCTTTGACATAAAGCAACTGGTGAGTGGAAATGTATTAATATCTGTGAGCTTCATGGGAATGCCTTGCCTGTGTAAGTGTTTATTTTATTGAACCTCAGCCTCACTGAGAACAGCAAAATGGAGCAATTTGGCTAATTACAGGCTGTGTATTCACTAGCTTGCTTCTGGTTAACTTAAACATTTTGTTAATTCAGCCTCTTCTTCCAAGTTCTTTTGGGGACACATTTGTTTTAATTGAGAGATTATGTGCAAGAAAAGGAAGGCACAATAACTAGAGGTTTGTAGTCTTCAAATTTGACAAATAGTAAAAATAGCTTTAGTTTTTGTAGTATAAAGGACTTGCTATTGGGGAAAATTCTGGAAAAACACTAAAGAGTGCCACCTGTATAGATACAGGAAAACAGCAGTTAGGATTATTTCAGCAACCACTACACAAATCCCTCATTATAACAGTGTGTGGCTTTAGGTCTGTCTTTCTGTGAAACAAAAAAATCTGTTTTTCTATGTCTTGAAGTCAGATAATTCTTTTTAAGGGCTTTGAGAACAGAGGTATCTTGCTATTTATGACATTAGAACTGAACGCTTAAGATCTGCTATAAATCTTTATTTTTTTTAAAAGAGGCTATAGGTGGGCTATAAAAATATGTTCAATTTCATTATAACGTGGCTTTACAAGGGGTTCTTGACAAGTATTAAACGAGCATACAATATCTCATACAAATCTGACCCCACTGGGCAGACTTCTTAAGCATGGAGTTTTGGTTTCATCTCCAAAATACTTGTAGAAGATTGCTAAGAAATTGTGACCAGGTGTGTGATATGTCACCAGAGAGTATATAACTTATTTAATTTTTCCAAAATAGAATGGAGGATACAGTTGTTCTTGCAGCCAGGCATTTTCTGACATTTGGTTTGGGTAAAATGTTTCTATATCATTAAAATAAGTAGGGATCATGTGAAGTAGATGTATATGGTGTTGGCACGTGTACATGCGTGTACACATAGGTCCATGTCTGTATGGTGCTATAGAATTAGATCAGCCCCAGTTTTCTGGTCAGTGGAGAACAATTGCTTATGTATAAAGAAGCTGTGAACTTTGTGTAGCCGTGGTCAAATCCCTTATCTCCTGAAGTGAATGAGAGGAAGGACTTATTTTCTGAAGCTAGCACGAAGTAAGCTTCTCTCAGGGTACAGGTATCTCATTTCATTCAGAGGTGTGTTTTGGGGGCTTTATAGAATATATAAGGGTTCATGTATGCGCTCGCTAAACTATTGAATGTTGTACAAGTGATTCATACAGAGCATACCCTAGTTTTGGCGAATGCTGTGCAGTTTGTATCTGTGCTTTTTTGCTAAATTGCCTAAATCAGGGTACTGTTTTGTGATGTACTGCAGTGCTGTACAGAGAAACACAAGCATTGTGTCTTGAGCCAGCAGAAGCAGTACAGCACACAACAGGACAGACTTCTTGGGCTTGTCAGCCCTGCTGAGGATTGGGGCAGGTGAGGTGTGCCATATAGGGCTGCCATGTTTCTGTGATCAAATCTTTTGGTGGGGTTATAAAAAGATATTCGGCTAATGAGGACAGCAATATTATATAATTGAAATTGCAGTTGTATTTCAAGAAATCTACATACCTGATTGATTCCTGTTGGAAATACTTATTTTAGCCCTAAGGACAATTAGGAATTTCCTAGATTAAAATGTGGTCTGATTCACTGATCAACCACTTTAATATAATTACTTTTCCTTTGAGGAAATTTAAGTTAAATTGTGGTTAGGTTATGCATAATATTTTTTTAATTAATCTGATAAATCCTTACTAAGGAGGATAGTTGGCTTGAGCTTGCTTCCTGCTCAATGAACATATTTCAGACTTCAGTTTGCTAATGCCAAGCACTGCATCCTGGGCTGCATCAAAAGAACTATGGCCAGCAGGGCCAGGGAGGTGACTCTGCCCCTCTGCTCTGCTCTGGTCAGACCCCACATAGAATACTGTGTACAGTTCTGGTGCCCTCAGCACGAGAAAGATATAGACCTGTTGGAAAGGGCCCAGAGAAGGGCACCAAGATGATCAAAGGGCTGGAGCAGCTCTGCTATGGAGACAGGCTGAGAGAGTTGGGGCTGTTCAGCCTAGAGAAGAGAAGGCTCCGGGGAGACTTTATAGCACCTTCCAGTACTTTAGGGGGCCCTACAGGAAAGCTGGGGAGGGGCTTTTCATCAGACAAAACAGTGATAGGACAAGGGGTAATGGTTTTAAACTGGGAGAGGAGAGATTTAGGTTAGATATTAGGAAGAGATTCTTCACTATAAGGGTGGTGAAGAACTGGAATGGGTTGCCCAGAGGGGTTGTTGATGGCCCATCCCTGGAGGTTTTTAAGGCCAGGTTGGACAAGGTTTTGTGCAACCAGATCTAGTGGTAGAGGTCCCTGCTCATGGCAGGGGTGTTGGAACTTGATGATCTTTAAGGGCAGTTCCAACCTTAATGATTCTATGATTCTAAATATGGGAAATCAGCATTTAAAAAAACTAGCCTCATCTTTCCTAGTTTATCCTTATTCATCTGACAGATTTTTTTCCCCTACATGTTTTGGATGAAGGAGACTGACCAATGTGCACTAGTGTAATTGTCATATGAAATAATTTTTGCACTTGGACCTTGTTAGGTTCCAGACCTTGACCTACCAGTAGCTCCTATCATTTTCTGCATGCAGCAGCTACAATGAACATGTCCCTTTGGAGAGTGTTAGGCATCAAAGTAGCTGATTTCAATTGACTGATCACATTCTTTTCTTCTTGAAAAATTTGCTGGTTATTATGATGATCACTCCTTCCATTGTTCTGCCTCATAGTTACTGGCAAGCCCAAGATAATGTGATTTTAAGTGTGTGTTTCTGGATATGTCAGTTTATTGCTTCATCATGGATTTAGGGATTTATAGATGTGTGGCATTCTTTTAGCCAGTCTGCAGGCTGATAATCATTAGCAGAGAACTTCTGTAAGCCTATATTTAGCATGGTTCATTAAAACACTTAATGTAAGGTTATATAAGCAAATTACCAAATGTGATGTATAATCACAAGGGTATTTTTTAAGTGGTATGTATCCATCTGTACATAAGAAGGAATCATACTTTCTTCTTCGGGTTGAAAAACTTCATAGGCAGGAACTACAGCAATATGAATGGGAATAGCAGCAATAGGTTTTTTTTACCTTTTGTAGTGCTATACATTTTCTTACCTCAGTAAAGATGTTTTAGTTCCTCATTTAGTCAGAGTTGACAGAAAAACAATGTTGTGGCATAGAGACAGTAGAGGGTAAGTCTGCAGGGTAAATACATACTAGGTTTGTAGGCAACATTTGGCCTTTGAAGTTTAGTCTTGCATTATCTGAGAGGAAAGCAGAATTTTTAGTCCAGTCAAAAGGTATTTTTGGATTTTGGATACAGCAAATTGTAGGAAAACAGCAAATTGTAGCAAAACCTTGTAGGACAAAGAGGCTGTTGTATCCAGCATTCTGATAAACTGCTGCTGTCACAAAGGGAACAAAAAAATGGCACTCTGTGACATTTTTCCTGTTAACAGTGATATTACAATGATGAAGCACATGAACTTTGTCCACTCTCAATAAAGAACAGAGAGTTCATCGTTGTTACTGGTTTCTCAGTACATGATGTATTTCTTGATGTACCTAATGCTCTGTCTTTTCATACCTCATCAATATGATGAAAGTGCTGAGTTTTGACTAATACAGGCAGCAGAAAAACTGTTAGGAGACCCTTCCTACTGAGTGATTGGAACCATAAACCCTAATTAAGAGACAATCTGGGTAACAACTGAAGAATTAATATAGAATTATGTATATAGAAAATCTACTGCAGGTACCCACGTAGTTTATTCAGTACTTTGTCCCCCCTGTGACTTAGTGCAAGACAGAAGTTGTACATATGCAGGAATTGCTGTGTATAATATGATTTAAGTAAATACTATGTATTTTTAAAATGATTTTTAGAATCTCAAATGCTTTTTATTTTTCTTCTCAATCTTTGCACAGAGGTTCAGTGGTCCAAAACAGTTGGTTTATATAAAAAAGGTTTCTAAACATCCCTGGAATTAGGAAGGGGTTGACTTCGAGTAGGACCTTCATGCATATCAAGACTGAACTACAACAAAAGAAGCCATA